TGTAAAGAACTCAGATAATTTTTAACAAACACCAAGTACATTCCTGCTTTTAAAAAAAATCTAATATTAGAATAAAAGAAAACACAAATGAAAATGTGAGATTCTTCATAGATGAGGCTACAAAATAATCAGACTAGCACACCGTACTATCTGTTTAAATAGTTCCACGTGTGAAATTATACCTTCGGCTTGATTTGGGTTTTATTAAACCTTCGGGTTTGTTTCATATTAATCAATGATATGTCCAAAAGTGATGTAAAGCAAAAACACATTTAGAGGAAAAAAAATAAGTTTTTCTAAGTGTTTTTTTTTTGGGGGGGGGGTTGAGGTTATCTATAATTAAGAGCTAGCAGTTTGAATGTTTTGAAAGGGAGATGAGCATTATTCTCGTTAATAAGTTCGTGTCTTGAGGATTTTAATTTCCAAATCTATAATGCCTGTCTTTCAAAGTACCAACCAAGGGCCGATTTCAGTTCTACAGGGGGTGTGAGACCCACGTTAAGTCCTTCCACGGGATGACATCAAGAAGGATGATTTCCTGTCTCCTAACCTGCTCTGGTGGGGAAAGGGGATGCGTCTGCTGACGCTGGAAGACTAGCCTGGTTTTGTGGTTTAAGATGCTAATTTTTTGAAGGTGAAGGAAGACGGGGAGGAAAGAAGGAGAAGGGGAAGGAAGGGGGGAATAAAAGGAGAAGAGCAAAAGAGAAAAAAAGGAAAAGGGAGGGGAGAGGAGGGGGAAGGGACGCAAGGGTGGGAAGAAGGCGGAAAGAAATCCTGCAGGGCATAGAGAAAGGACGAGTTCCTCAAGTTCTGTCTGAAGCACCCAGCGTTCCCTTCATTCGGCTTACGGTAAATTAAAAAAACGATGGTAGGAACAGCAACAACATAATGGACTTGCAGAACTGTTCGTTGGGCGAGGTAGGAGTCCTCAGCTCGTCTCTGATGGAACCGCTGTCTTCCTGGGCTGAACGAGCCCTCTGCTTGCAGAGCCTCCGACCCAGCCGGAGCCCTGAAGTGCCCAGGAGTCCTGGGTCTAAAGACAATCGCCCTTTACAGATTCACTCTCATCAGGTTTAATAACTTCCACCCCAAATTACCCCAACCCTCCTCATTCCCTTCTGTCATTTATTTTCTGCCCTAGGGGCCAAGATCTTCTTCAATGCCTCCCTTCTGGCTCCAGGGAACCTTCCGCACCCAGACAGAGAGTTGGAGAACAGAGGGTGTGTGAAGGCGGGGACGAGGGAGAGCCAGTCACTACAGAATTTCTGGGGAAATTAAAAACAAAAACAAAAAATAAAATAAAATAAAACCCCGCGTCTTACAAGGCACCCATTTGAGGCTAGCTTAACTTTGTCCTCACTATTATTTATGCTTAAAAAAAAAAACTAAACAACTGCACAAATTACAGATTCAAAAGAAAATCTACCCCCAAACCAACCTGAGCAGACAAAATAATCTCTTGTACATTTCAAACTATCTCCTTAAAGAACATAAAGCTTAAACCTTCCCAGAGATTCTGCTGTGCGTTTTTTTGAATCTACCAGGTTAAACTCAAAAATTGCACACAACAAACACAAATATGAAATGTCCTACACTTTTGTTAAAAAGTCTCAAAATCAATGTTGTGGGCTTTGTTGCTTCCAGCCTGTGGAGAAAAACAAAACACAAAACAAAACAAAGCAAAACAAAACAAGAAACTTGATAAAATGGAGACTCCAGGCAAACAGAAAGACACATAGGATCCACTGAAAATACACAACCATTCCAAAGCAACAAGCAATATATACTGTAGGGTTCATAACATATTCAAGTTACCAAATGTGTTAGGCAAAATGAACAAAAATATCAGAAATCATAGCGGTAAATAGTTTTTTGATGTTGTTGATATACAATGATACTGTGATTTTTTTTAAATTTGTACAGCTATCAATATGGAAAAATAGCTCCTAAAATCACAGAATCTAGTTGTTTGTTTGTTTTATAAATACTCTCCTGAACATACAGAAATAGGAAATTTGTGTTTTAAATTCTCAATAATGGTCCCCCCTTTTAGAAACTCTGTAAAAAATTGAAGGCTGGTGTCCCCAGTTTCTCGTTATCAGTTGTTAAAAGACTCTAGTTACTAGCTTCAATGATTCACCATTTTCAAAATAGATTTTTTTTTTAGTGTATCTATTTATATTACTCGTTTTGAACAACTATGTTCCCTTTTAAATGCACGTTTAGTTTGTGGATTCTGTGACCCAGAGGTGTTTATGTAACTAAATGTGGGTATCTGCGCGTAAATTCGCGTTTATGATTTTTTATAATATATATGTGCGTGTGTGTGTGTGTGTGTGTGTGTGTGTGTGTGTAGTGTGTGTGCGCGCGCGTTGTATCTAAGTCCTGTGTGCAATAATGTTTTTCTGTCTGCTGAGGCTTACTTCCCCAGCCTATTGTTTGAGACAACAGATATAAGTTGCGATGGGAGAGGAGCGTCGGATTTGGTGTGTATCCCCCATTTCCAATTATAGATGGATCATTACAGACAGCGGAGTCCTGAGAAGTCAGACATCTGCTCCTCACATGAATGCACTCACCTCCTAGAGACCAGGCTGCCATCATGCTCTGGAAACTCGTGGAGAATGTCAAGTACGAAGACATCTATGAGGTGAGCGGACACCCCCAGATGCATTTTTGAGCTTTGTACATAGAAAAGTGGAGCTTCTTGGCACCCCAGTTGACATATTTTTAAGCTATTTGCTCGCAGATTTCCGTTCGGGTTTCTGAGGTTTCTTTAAGTTTTCTGAGTCTGGCTCTAGGAGACTTCGCTCTCCTGAAGGGGGGCTTTTAAGGTTGGAATCTGGCAACTTTTATTTAGGAACTATTTTTCTTTTCTTCTCTTTCTTTCTCTCCGGCTCTCTCCTCCCCCCTTGTAGGCTCTAATGGGAACGTGGCGGCACTGAATTTAGGTAGACAGTCAGAGAAAAACATTCTCTCCTCATTTTGAGTTCGGGAGAGAATCGGGTTTTCAAGCTTCACTTCGACTCGGGCTTTGGATTTTTATTTTTCATTTTTTTGTACTTTTAGTAAATTTTGTGAAATCGGTAACTAGCGGATCCAGGTGGAGGGCGAGAGAGAGGAAAGGAACAGTGTATGAACAGATAGAGTGCAGTATGGGGAGAGGGCGCGGCTTGTTATTTTTATTTTCTTGTGTTTTGCTTCTTTGCGGGTCAGTGGGTCCGAGCAGAGATGGCAGCCGCCAGCGTGTGGGCATTTTTAACGAAGTCTGCCCGCACTTCGTGCACCAGGTCAACACTACCCAGGAGAGTGCGTCCCTCCCGGGCTTTGCCCTCGGCCTCCCGGGACTCCACCGGTCGCTTCCGGAGTCCCGTCGAGCGAGGCTGTGGCACGGCCGGGTGCCCCTGCAGCTCGCTGCCTGGCGAGGCGAGGAGTCCCGGGCCGGGGACGGATGCGGAAACCCGCACCACAGTCCGGGAGCTGGGGAGACCCCCAAATGAGCTCGTGAGGAAAGGAAGCAAGGCTCAAAAGGGACGTCGAGGGAGGGAAGAGTGGCTCTGAAGCTTCGTGGGGGGGAAAGCTTTCGAGATCGGAAAGAAAGCGAAAGGGAGTTAGCGAAGCGGGGAGGCAGAGGCGACCAGGAAAAGTTGGAGAGCAGAAGGCTGAGACGATGAGACCCGGGTCCCCGGTCCTGGGCTGGACCACCGGACGGAGGTGGGCATCTCAGGCTCGCGAACCGGCCGGGAAAGAAACCGGAGCCCTGAGCCGGGAGCTCTGTAGGGACTAGGGGAGACCGCTCGGCGTGGTTCGCCTGGTCCAACGAAGGGGAGTCTGGAGGCTGTCGCCAGCTTCCCCCCCCTCACACACACACACACACCCGGCTGGCCCGGTCCGCCCGAGTGATCGCGACTCCTTAGGGCGCCTGGCAAGAGTTCCTCCAGCCAGTGCCCGGTGTGCCCCAGCCCCGCCGTTCCGAAGACCTCATTTGGAGGTAAATGAGAAAGTGAAGGAGAAAAGAAAGAGGAAAGGAAGTCCAGAAGAAGATGGGAGGAGGAATGAGAGAGAGAGAGAGAGAGAGAGAGAGAGAGAGAGAGAGAGAGAGAGAGAGAGATTGTCTTCTTTCAGGTTCCGTCTTTTCTCTTTGTGGTTGTGTACTGACTGTACCGAGGGAACCGTGTCTGCCCCGCCTGGCGGGGTTTGTTGCGCTCCGGCCTCCCTTTCTTTTCCTAACAGGCGGGATTATGTTCAAGTCCGGGGCGTTAAGCTAGCTTAAAGAACACATCACCCATAGGAAAACCCAACCCGGCCGAACCGGGGCTGTGGTGGAAATAGCTCTGGGTATACATAGAGGGATTAAAGTAATCAGAGGGATGCTGGTTCTTTGCTTAGGAAAAATAAACGGCTAAATGGGAAAGGGGGGGGGGAGTGGGGAAGAGTAAAAGTGGGAAGGAAGAAGAGAGAGGGGAGGGAGAGAAGAGAGGAGAAGGGGGTGAGGGAGAGGGGGGGCGAGAGAAGGAGGGAAAGAGGGGGTAGGAGAGGGAGGAGAGGAGAGAAAGCTGAGCGGAGGGAGGGGAGAGCGAATTACTCCAGGCTGCCTAAATTTTCAGCTGAAAAGCCAGGAGAACCCGCACACAGCGCGGTGGAAGGAGCCTGCTTCAGTCTGGGCTACGGTTGAAGTTTAACAGAAGTTAAACTGGCAGTCAGGCCAGTTGAACGGGTTCCTGAAACATCCCAAAAGATTTTCTGTTGCCCCTGGCTTTGCCTGGAAAGGATACCTTTAGTGTACTTGAAGATCGAATGCATATATTTTAAATCTCGGTTAAAAAAAAAATTGCAGGCTGTAAGCACTGAAGAGGAAAAGGCTCTACTATGTTAAGAAAAAAAAAATCTCTCCTAGGTCCTAAAAGAAAGGAAGGAAGGAAGGAAGGAAGGAAGGAAGGAAGGAAGGAAGGAAGGAAGAAAGAAAGAAAGAAAGAAAGAAAGAAAGAAAGAAAGAAAGAAAGAAAGAAAGAAAGAAAAGGCTAGATCTTCTGCATTCAGAAAAAAGTCCGTGTAGCTCCCAGTAAACAAACAGGCCCACCCATTTCCTTTTCTCTCCCCTCCAGATGACCAGGCAGTGTCTTTCTAGTTTGGGTTTTAATATGCACACCAAGCACGCAGGGCAACCACCTCCTCCCCGTTGGGAAAGTCTCTCTCTATACACAAGAACACCTACAATCTCTGGGAGCCCCCACACTGCTCCCCCACACTGCCGAATCCAAAGGGCAGAGGCTGCCTTACGAGAGCGAGAGCGGGCGTCCCAGTTCAGTTAATTGAAGTTCTGCCTCTTTCCTGCTAAACTTTTCCCCCAGTCTGCCTCCGCCAGCCCCCTCGTCTGATTACATCTAGTAATTCTCCACTGAATGAACGTCATTTACAATAGTGGAGGAGCTCTGAGCTCGCCGCTGCTTCACGCTCCATTTGCCCTCCATTCTCCCTTTAAAGTGCTCGTGTAATATTAATAGTCATGAATATCAATTATTATGAGGCGGTGTAGGCAAGCGGAGGGAGGAAGGGGCGCCCGAGCAGTCTGAGCCCAGCTTCGGGTGGAAGAGGTCTGTATCTGGTCTGTATCTGGAGCCCCAAAGAACCCGGCGAAGGAAAGAGGCCAAAAAGACGGTGAGAGACAGATGAACAGTTCTGCCTGTCTGTGACAGGCACCTCCAATCTTCTTGGAGGGGGATTTTTTTTTTTTTTTTTTTTGATGGCTTGTCCTGGAAACACCTCAAGCTCAGCTCTCGTGTCCAGCTTGCTTCTCTGCTGGACTTTTTGATTTTTGAAAATTCATTGTTTGATTTTGAGCAGTAACCAGGCTTTTTTTTCCAGATGTTAGTCCACACCTATTCATCCATGGTGAGTTCGGATTCCCGTTGTACCAGAAGTGCATGCCTTCTCCTCTCAGTGTCTCTCTGTCTCTGCATCTCTGTGTGTGCGTGTGTCTGTCTCTCTGTCTTCCTCTGAGTGCCTTTGGCTTGGTAATTTAGCACCATAATTGGACGAGGGCTGCAGCTGCTTCTCTCTGCATTGTGTGTTCCCTGTCTGAGCTCCCCGAGAGTCAGCTGGGAGGTGGGGGGGTGAGGCTGAACCGAAAAAACTTTTGTCATTGCAGTTTGGAAATTAAGGTGGCTGTTTCTACAGAGAGGACCTGGGGGGACTTTACCCCCTCGCCATTTCCACAAAGGATGGGGAGAAAGTTAAAAGTGCCCATCACTTCCCCCCTTCTCCTTTCACTTGGCTTGCTTATATTCCGGAGAGGAGGGAAAAGAGATGTGGGGGCTATCTCTTCACCTCCCAACTTCAGTTCCTTCTTTTTAACACCCTGAGTCTAATAGCATGCGATATGGAAAGCAAGCTCAGAAAACTCCTGCAAACCACAACTCAATTTACCACGGGCTTAGGGTGTGATTGCAGAGGAGATCCGTTTCAATCAAACACTAAGTTATTTAATTCCTCTTGGGGAGGGAGGGGTGGCTGGAAGCTCAGATCAGGCAGAAGCCTCCCTGCTCTGGGAATCTCCTGCTTGTGTGAGCCCCGGGGCCAGCCAGCTACCTGCCAGTGAAGGCACCAGTGGGTTTTTCTTTTTCTCCCCCAACCAGAGCAGTGCTACAGCTATTAGCCAGGTTCACTTGGTGTACTTTGGATCTCTTGAAGAGTAGGGGCAAGAAACACTTCGAAGAGCAAACACTACCCTTGGGTCCTACATTCTTAAATCAAGGCTTTGAGCTATCTCTGTCCACAAAGTTCCTTCTTCGCCTCTCCCTTTTCTCCTGCTTTGCACTCTGGAAAGATGGCTCCTAGGCCGGGTAGTGGGTAAGCTTCCTATTTCTGTTGTATTTAGGTCCCCTGAAGCTTCCCGGGTGGGACTCTTGACATTTTACCATGTGGCCCTGAGTCAGCTTGGGGTCTAAGGTTTAGCCTCTTGCTTTTCTTATCCCGGGAAAGTTGTACAGAAGCCGAACTCCTCTCTCTCTCTCTCTCTCTCTCTCTCTCTCTCTCTCTCTCTCTCTCTCTCTCT